GGGTTAATTTTTTTGTTTTATATGTGAAATATATTTTAAAATTCCTTTTTCTCTTTTCCTTGTTAAATGTAAATTTCAATATTATATTATTTTGTTTGTTTATATATGCTATTTTTCTTTCTTCAATTTAATTGGTTTGACTATCTATCTATCTATCTATCTATCTATCTATCTATCTATCTATCAATCATCTATCTCACCCATAACTTTGAGCATACTGGTTGTTCCTATCCAATTCTATGTGACTCACAGGATCCTACAAGACTCATATAGAGCGCAGATGTTTTCTTCATACTCCCTCTTCATTGACACACGGTGAGTTTTTGTTTTTTTCCCATTCATATCTCAAGATGAAGGGGGAGCTTTGAGAAGAAACTGCATGTTTTATCTTTACCTGGGTTCTTTGCCACTTTGTTGAAGTTGTTCATGTTCTGAAGAAGTAGCTTTGGCTACATGTGTCTATGTATGTGTGTCCTCAGATGATCAGAGACAACTGGAGATTGGGAAGGCAAGTTTTCAACCATAATCAGTTTTGTTTGTATGATAGACTCAAAAGCCAACTGTGCTCTCTCCTTTCTTACATGGAATCAAAGAGGATTTCAGGAAACTGTTTTATAAATCCTGGCTTAACATTTGGGCACAACAGAGTTGATCCAAAACTACATGACAGATGTAGGGACAATTTTTAAGTTGCACCAAATTTCTCTTGGGGTAGAAAATGAAAGCTTCTAATACTAAAGAGAAAGAACATTTCCCCTAGGGGTTCCACATCCAAGTGTGGTGTGGTACATCAGGTCGATAGCTCCTAGGTTTTAGCATAGCCTCAGGATATAATTATTAAATCAACCCTTTCCCCGACTTGGCTTTATTCTGAAGTGATGTCTGATTTTTAAAATTGGCATAGGGAAGTTTAAATGCTGGGTTCATTCTTTCATCTTTTATTCCTAATATTTATTATATTAAATCAAATCAAATCTTTATTACAGTCATAGACCAGCGTAAATATTTATTATAAGCAATCTTCATTTTTGTGACTCACCTTGGAACAGGTTGTGCCCTAAAATAAACATTATCTTAGAATAGGCTTTATTTTTGGAATAAATCATGTCTAAAATCTAGGTGTTTTTTGCCATTTTGTTACTAATAAACAGGGAATTCCCTCTGGATCACAAAACGGATCCGTGGAGCAGCATTCTGGAAGCAACATTTTCTGCCCTCTGCATCTTAGAAGCATGAATGAATGTAGTTTTAAGGGAAGTCAGACATCTCACATTTCTGGTAGGGAACCTACAACATGAACATAGCCTTAAATTGCACAAGCTCAGAAATTCAAAACTAATATCCTCTCCTCTAAAGACTACACTCCCCCTTATGCTTCTTCTGAATGAGGACAGCACAAAGCCATCAACTAGAGTGTCTGCCATCATCTGGCTCAGTGTTTCTCAACTTTTGGCAACTTTAAGATGGGTGGACTTCAGCTCCCAGGATTCCCC